ACCATTTCTCAACAAAAATTTCCCTTTTAAACAAAATAAATTTATTTGCCTCAAATACAAGTTTAAAATCAAACTTGTTCAACAAACTTTCAAACACTAAATTCTTCCTAACTTCTTGTACATAATAAATATCATTCAAAGTTAGAGTTTTTTTAGAAGTAAATTCAAGGTCAATGGTCCCTTTGCCTTTGATTGTTTGCTAAAAGAAATTTTCATGTAGAAGACATTGCCATATTCACTTGGTTTGAATGTTATGAACATGTTTTGTCTTTACACACATGTTTTGTTGTCTTATAATCAACCCAACAAAATTCATCATTTTCAAGCATATTGATATAAAAATTATGGCAACAAAATTTTCAAAAGTATCCCCTTTTGAGGAATCTTTTTTTTCTATAGCAACCGATATTTTTTTTTGAAATGTCCTAATTTACCACAATGGTAACATGAGCCTTTTTTATTCTTCTTGAATTTAAATCCATTAGCAATCTACTTAAACTTAAACTTCTTTTTGTCAAGCTTTGTAGTCTGTCTTTCCTCTAAAACATGAATTTTGGTATCACCATAATCAAAATTTTGTTATTGCTTTCTATATTCCTTTTGAATTTGAAGATGATTAGCCAAAACCTCAAGAGTGATTTCTTTTTTTATATATTTTAAACTTCTTTCAAAGTCTTTCCATGATAGAGGAAGTCAGTCTATTACAGAGGATACAATAATTATTTTATTCATACTTATATTATATTGTTTAAACTAATTAAGTATTCTTTCAATTTCATACAATTGTTCAATCACAAAACGTCCATCAATCCTATGATAACTATTGAAATGACTAACGAAAATTTTTTTATTTGTTGCATCCTCGATTATATACTCGGTCTTCAATTTGTCCCATAACTCCTTAAGAATAACTTCGTTTTGGTATGTATCAAACAGGTTGTCAGACAAACCATTCAAAATATGATCTTTACACATGTAGTCTGCATTATCCCATTTCTGCCTCTATCTTGTTACAGCAATAGATTTTTCTATTTCATTTTTCTCTGGGCTATAAGTAGTCAAAACATATATAACCTTCAAAGTTGAAAATAGGAAATGCATCTTCTTTTGCCAATTTCAAAATAATACAATTTGACAAAACTAGAAGCAAATTCCCTAAGTGTTGCTTCAGTAACTATTGTTGAACCAAATAAAACTTTAAATTATTAGAACAACATTGAAAATTAGAATTATTACTTCTAGTAAATCTAAAATTTTGAGAAAAAGCTCCAAAGCGTATAACAGTGCCACTTTCTTTAAGGTTTTATTTACCCCTATCAAATTATTTACTTAGTAGGTATGCAAAAATGTTGTAGACAATAAATCTTGATGATATAATGAAACTCACTAATTGATTGCGTTTTGCACTAATGAAATCAATCCATCAAGCAATCTCTGACATATAACAAAATCATTGAACTTCTATAAAGGTCTTTTACAGTAAAACTTTTATAAAAGAAATTTAAAGTTTGAAGAAAGAATGAGACTTCCAAGAATTATTTTTTACATGTTTTTAGAAAATTATATGAGTTTTTAATAAATAGACAAATGTCTTTTTTTACAAATATGACTGTCTATTTTGAATAGACAAAAACTGTCTATTTTTGAACAGTTAAAATTGTTAATCTCGTCTTAATATATTAGGGGGAGATTTTGGAATTAAGATTAATGAAGTTTTAATATAATTTCTGCGTTTATCTTGTCCTTTTTTTTTAAACATTTTTATTTTTTTATTAAGAATTCTATTTAGTATATGATAAGCTTTTAATAAAGCTTCACATTAAAATATTTATCCAAGACCAAAATATGACAACATTGCGTTTACCATTTTTGTTAATATCATGTTCTTACTTTCAGTTACACAATTATGTTATGGTGTATAAGGAGCAGTAACTTGGTGGATTATTTTGGTAGATTCAAAGTAACTTGGATGATAATATTCTCCACCCCTATCCTACTTCAAGCATTTAATAAAAGATTCACACTAAAGTTCAACTTTAGATTTATATATTTTAAACTTATCAAGTACTTCATTTTTGGAATATAACAGATAAAATAACAATATCTAGTACAATCTTCTATAAATGTGACAAAATATCTCTTTTCAAATAATGTAGAAGTGCTATGCATATCACAAACATCACTGTGAATTAACTCAAGTAACTTTGTACTTCTTTTAACCTTAGGAAAAGATTTCTGTAATCTTAGTCAACATGTATGTATTACATTTATTAATGTCTTGATTGAATTCAGTAATTAATAGAAGCTTACTCATATCATGTAATTTTTTATAATATAAATGACCTAATCTATAATGCCATAAATATGAAGATTCAACTACGTAAATAGAAATAACATTCTTATTTTTATTAATAATATTGAGTTTGAACATTTATTCATATATATACCATTTCCCAATAAAAATTCCTCTCTTAAATAAAATAAATTTATCTACCTCAAATACAAGTTTAAAATCAAACTTGTTCAACAGACTTTCAAACACTAAGTTCTTCATAACTTTTGGTACATAATAAATATCATTCAAAGTTAGAGTTTTTTCAGAAGTAAATTCAAGATCAATAGTCTCTTTGTTTTTTATTATTACTGTTGAAGAATTTTTCATATAGAAGACATTGTCATATTCACTTGATTTGAATGCTGTAAACATACTTTTGTCCTTGTACACATGTTTTGTTGCCCTAAAATCAACCCAACAAAATTCATCATTTTTAAGCCTATTGATCTCGAAAATCATGGCAAAAATTTTTTCAAAAGTATTCACTTTTGAAGAATCATTTTTTTTATAGCAACCAACGTTCTTTTTTGAAATGTCATGGCTTACCACAATGGTAACATGAACATTTTTTTATTCTTCTTGAATTTAGGCCTATTAGCAATTGCTTAAACTTGAACTTCTTTTTGTTAAGCTTTGTAGTCTATCTTTCCTCCAAAACATGAACTTTGGCATCACCAGAATTGAAATTCTGTTCTTGCTTTCTATATTCCTTTTGAATTCAAAGATGATTAACCAAAGCATAAATAGTGATTTCCTCTTTTTTATGTTTTAAACTTTTTTTAAAGTCTTTCCGTGATGGAAAAAGTTTATTAATAACAGAGGACACAATAATTATTTCATTTATACTTATATTATATTGTTTAAATTGATTAAGCATTCTTTCAATTTCACATAATTGTTCAATCACAAAATGTCTATCATTCATATGATAATTATTGAAATGACTAGCAAAAAATTATTTATTTGTTGTATCCTCGATCATATACTTAGTCTCCAATTTATTCCATAACTCCTTAACAGTAACCTCATTTTGGTAAATATCAAACAGGTTGTCAAACAGACCAATTCAAAATATGACATTTACACATGTAGTTTGTATTATCTCATTTTTACCTCTCTCTTGTTGTAGCAATAAATTCTTCTATTTCATTTTTCTCTTGCTTATTAGTAGTCAGAACATATACAATCTTTAAGGTTGAAAGTAGATAATGCATCTTCTTCTACCATCTTCGAAAATTGCCACCATTAAAACAATCCAATTTGACAAAACTAAAAACCATTTCCCTAAGCGTTGCTTCAGTAGCTATTGTTGAACTAAATAAAACTTTTAGATTGTTAGAGCAACACTAAAAATTAGAATTACTACTTTCGTTAAATTTGAAAATTTTGAGGAAAGGCTCCAAGGCGTGTAACAGTGTCACTTTCCTTAAGGTTTTATTTGCCTCCACCAAATTATTTACTTAATAGGTTACAGACAATAAATCTTAAGGATACAATAAAGCTCAGTGATTAATTGTGTTTTGTACTAATGAAATCAATCCATCAAGCAATCTCCAGTGTATCACAAAATCATTGAACTTCTATAAATGTTTTTTGCAGCAAAACTTTTATAAAAAAATTTTAGAGTTTAAAAAAGATAGATACTTTCAAGAATTATTTTTTGTATATTTTCAAAAAATCAGATGAATTTTTTATAAATAGATAAGTATATTTTTTTATGAATATGATTGTCTATTTTGAGTAAACAAAAATTATCTATTTTTAAACAATTGAAATTATTTATTTTAAACAGATATATTTATCTATTTTGAACACACTTAATTATTTAAATTTTTTTCAATATAAGATTATTTTTTATATTTTATTTTAAAAACTTTTAATATAATTTTCATATAAAATATGATATAAATACATAAATTATTAATATTTTATATGATATATATATAAATTATTAGATTTAACCTAATCAGAAGGATATCATGTTAAGGCAGAATTCTGGTGCAGTTCTTGTGAAACAGCCGAAAAAGAGACAATTACAGCCGCCTCTAAAGTTGCTGAAGCAGAAAATAAAGACACGGTTAAGAAGGCAGAAAGAGTCTCAAAAATGGCTAAACATACCGACTCAATGCTAAAGCTAGCGAAAGAAATCTACGAACAATGCATGTGAAATTACACAGTTGTACTACTTAAAATTAGTAGCATATGTTTTTCTTGTATAATCCTTGGATTAGAAGCATATGCTTTCATGCTTTCCTAGTATTAATTTTTTATTGTAATTATATTTATTAAAAATATAAAAATAAATAAATAAAGTTCAATCATCAGAATTATTTAATAAGATTTTTTTTAAAAAAAATATTTTTCATTCACTTCGTTTAAATAAATTCAAATAATCATTTTTTATAACATAAAATATTCACCTAAAATTTTTCATTAAATAAAATAAAAATTTACAATCTTAATTCATATTATAACTAATGACATTTGAGAGTTTGTTTGGTTTTTTTTTCCCCTAAAAAAGGTTTCATTTAGTAAAAAAAAAATTCCTACTTTGACTTAAAAAAAGAAAAAATGGTTAAGATTAGAGCCATCGATGAAAAATATGAAAACACAAAATGACAGATATACCATCCATACTTTATTTACTCCTTTGTCCTTTAATAAAATATTAAACTGCAAAGATTGTCGCTCCACACGCTTTCTTCATCTATTACCAAATTTCTGATTCTCTCTCACGAGACGAAGCTTCAAAGATCTCCGATCTCCGCTTTAATTTGATTTGCATCCATAATATTTAGGTAATTTTTCGATTTTTTTCCTAATATATTAGGTAATTTTCTGATTTCTGTTTGGTTATCTGGATTTGCATAATTTTCACTTTCCAGCCCCTTTTGGTTGATGAGAAAATAAACGCAAGTAAAAGAAAACAAATCTGTTTTTCATTTTTTTCAGAAAAAAATTCATATTTATTTGATTCAATTATGGTACTTTAAATATTCAAATATGTCTTTTCTTCACTTCCTAAGTAATAATTGTATTCACTTTTTTTTTTTACTTTATGTATGGTTGTTGACAACATTGGGTATAGGACAAAAAACAAAAGGAAAACTTAAAAGTAATTCTGTTGTTGTTTGATTTAAATTTCAAATGTCAAACAGGTAAAAGATTCCTTTTTGGAACTTGGGTTCCTCTTGATGAACCAATGTGTATTAGGGCGAGATTTTGGAATTAAGATTAATGAAGTTTTAAGCTAATTTTAAGCTAATTTCTGTGTTTATCTTGTCCTTTTTTCTTTTAATATAATTGGATTTTCCTTCTTTTTTTTCCATTCATTTGGTTGCTTAGAAAACTGGGGAAAATGAGAAGATAAGAATGCAAATTTTATGATTTACTGTGTTTGGATGTCTGGGAAATGAAAACTTTGTTATCTTCTCTTGGAAAATATTAATAAAAAAGAACATTGTTTTATTCTTGTTTAGATCTTGTAGCAAATTGAAAGAACTTGATTTTGGAATGGTTTTTCTAGTGCATGTAATAGTTAATGTCCTTCCTATGATTATATGCTTTCAAGTTTACTAAAAATTATGCAACAAAAAGAAGGAGTTATCTCAGTCTTCATTATTTTTCTTCTAGAGAAGAAACAAATGTAAAATGCACATATTAATTGATTGAGAACTTGTAAACTTGTTACCTTTCAGGCTGCCTTTGAGAGTTGTTGATATGGGTGATAGCAGTGCATCTTCTGGTTTGCCAGAAGAAACCCCAAACCCAAATCCCGATGGAAATGCTCCTTCTGAAAGTGACCTTGCACTCAATGCGCTAGCTCGAAGGGTTCAAGAGTCAATTGGCCTCGAGAGGAGACACAAGTTTTGGGAATCTCAACCTGTTGGGCAATTCAAAGACTTGGGAGACACTGGTTTGCCTGAAGGGCCTATTGAAGCTGCAACACCTTTATCTGAAGTCAAGCAGGAACCATTCAATCTTCCAATCATGTATGAGTGGGTCACATGTAATATTGACTCTGATGAGATGTGCACAGAGGTTTACAACCTTCTGGCAAATAACTATGTTGAGGATGATGAGAACATGTTTAGATTTAACTATTCAAAGGAGTTTCTGCACTGGGCTCTTCGCCCCCCTGGTTATTATAAGAACTGGCACATTGGTGTCCGTGTTAAAAGTTCAAAGAAGCTAGTTGCTTTCATTACAGGTGTTCCAGCAAGAATCCGGGTCCGTGATGACATTGTTAACATGGCAGAGGTTAATTTTCTATGTGTTCATAAGAAGCTCAGATCAAAAAGGCTTGCTCCTGTCATGATTAAAGAGGTGACAAGGAGGGTTCACTTGGAGAATATCTGGCAAGCGGCATATACTGCTGGAATTGTTATTCCAACACCAATAACTTCTTGTCAATATTGGCATAGATCTTTGAATCCAAAGAAGCTGATTGAAGTTGGGTTTTCTAGACTTGGTCCAAGGATGACAATGAGTCGGACAGTTAAGCTTTTCAAGTTACCTGAATCAACAGTCACACCAGGATTCAGAAAAATGGAGCTTCACGATGTTCCTGCTATTACACGACTACTCAGGAATTATTTGAGCCAGTTTGTGGTTGCACCTGATTTCAATGAACATGACGTGGAGCATTGGCTTCTTCCTACTGAGGGTGTTGTGGATAGTTATATTGTTGAAAGCTCTGAGACCAAAGAGATTACTGATTTCTGCAGTTTCTACACACTTCCCTCATCAATCCTTGGAAACCAGCATTATTCGACTTTGAAGGCAGCATATTCATATTATAATGTTTCTACAAAGACCCCTCTGCTTCAATTGATGAATGATGCTCTTATTGTGGCAAAACAGAAGGGCTTTGATGTTTTCAATGCATTGGATGTCATGCAGAATGAATCTTTTTTGAAGGAACTTAAATTTGGGCCAGGTGATGGAAGTCTTCACTATTATCTTTACAACTATAGGATAAGGCATACACTGAAACCATCAGAGCTTGGTCTTGTACTCCTCTAGGCTTGTTTTTCTGCTAGAAGTGAATGGAAAATTTTCTGGGAAAGTTTGCTGTTGGTTTGTTGTAATATTGAATCATGGCAACACTTGGTTAGTGATTTATACTTTATCTTGCCATTTAAACAAACAGATTTTTATGAATTTTCTTTTGCTTAGGAGTTATTGCCATGGAGTCTTAAACCTCAAATTCTCGGAACTTGGAACAGATAGATCGAATATTGAAAGCAACTTTTAGTTTTCTCATTTATGACTTGATTGTTGTCTGCTTGATTTTTCATCCTTCATGTTCATGTTTGTCGAGAAAAGTTATGTATGTTATTAGGGGAATTGCCCCATAAATTTTCTAATAAAATATTAATATAAATATTTTGGTCTTTTTCTCTTCCTTTATTTGTACCCCATTAAAACATGAGAGGGAATTTAGAAGAATAGTAAATCATTTATCCATAGCTGTTTACAAGTCCTCTTATTAATTAATTCTTTATATTCTTTAGTCGCTAATAAGCTTTTCTTTCATCCCGATCCAAGTAGTATTTGTCCAATGCTCAAGAGCTGTAAATCTATGTTTAACATTGTTAAGAGCATTTTTGGATCATAAATGTGTAATTATCTTTTATCCTAAGAGAATAGTTCACAATTGGACTAGGGATATTTTGATCATTTAGTTTGAACTAACTTGTATAAATACTTTCACTTCCTTTATCTCATTCTCCTTCTAACTATCTCATTCTTTCTTTTAAGCTCTCTTCCTTAACTTTCTCATTCTTATCTCTAAGCTTTTCCTTTCAGCTTGAACTTAGTACAAACAAATGGCACGTCAGGTAGGGTTTTTTTCAGCTAAGTTCGGAAAGCACCACAAAAAAGTAAAAAAGCTCGAACTAAGCTTGGCCAATGAGCTCAAATCTATATATCGACTTTAGAAATGCACCATTTCGACAAAATAGCTCGGTCAAAAAGTTCAAGCTCGAACTCAGTTCAGCCAAAAAAGTTCGGATCTACAATATATCTTCACAAAAACCCAACTTGATAAAACAACTCAACTTAAAAGCTCAAATCTATAAAATGCTTTTATAAAAGCCCAACTTAATAAAATAGCTCGGCCTAAGAGCTTAAACTTAGCTCGGCCAAAAGAACTCATCTCAGTAAAATACTTTTATAAATACTCAACTTGACTACCTCGACCAAAGCTCATCTAGATAAAATGCTTTTATAAAGACTTAGCTCGGTTACCTCAGCCTAAGAGCTCATCTTGATAAAATTCCTTTGTAAAAGCTTAAGTCGACCACCTTGGCCAAAGTGCTCACTAGGTAAAATGTTTTTATAAAGGCTTAGCTCGGTCACCTCAGTCAAATAGTTAATTTCGATAAATTGTCTTCATAAAAGTTTAACTCAGTCACTTTAATCAAAGTGATTAACTCAACCAAAAGAACTCAGCTTGATCAAAGAGCTCAATTCAATTAAATTTTCTTGGTAAAGGCTCAACTCGACCAAAAAAAACCTTAATAATTAGCTCAGTTAAAAGAGTTTAACTTAGACAAAAAAGCTCATGACAGTTAAAAAAGCTTAGTTTGACCAAATTTCTTAGATAAAATAATAACTCCACCAAATTTCCTTCATAAAAGGTTAGTTCAACTAAAATAGCTCAACTTAGCCAAATTTCATTAATAAAATATTAGTTTTGCTAGCTCAATCAAAAATATTAACTCCAGCAAAATTTAAATAGTTAAAATAGTAAGTAAACAAAGTCAAACAACTATTGAGATCCCAATAATCATTCACATCAAATGAATCATAAAATGACATTTCATCACGTCGATACCTCAAATCACTCATGTCACTAAAAGGTTAGATAACAAAATCGACATCAAAATTTTGAACTCAGATGTATCCTTAAATTTTAACAAATTGACTAAATCAAAGTAGGTCGAACATCTCAGCTCAATCCTCGTTTGAATATTCAAATTGTCTTTTAGGGGAGACATAATGTTAGAGGCATTTTTGGGTCATCAGGGTATAATTATCTTTTACCCTAAGAGAGTACATAGGTGTTTTGATCATTTAATCTAAGCAAACTTGTATAAATATCCCTGCTCCCTCTAAGTAAGGGGCCAATTCTTTTTTCAACTATCTCATTCTCTCATTTGAGCTCTCATTCTCAACTTTTTTATTCTTATCTCTAAACTTATTTTTGAACTTTTTCCTCTAGTATGAACTTAGCACAAACAAACACTTTAACTGCTTTTTTTTTTATGTGGTCAGCTTTAAAGTTTTATGATATCTTAATTATTGTTTATTGGGTTTATTTGTGTGGGATTTATTTGAATTTTGTTTGAGAGAGCTGAAGCCTCAGTATTATTAATATTAGAATTCAAGTTCATAGGCACTGCTATAACTTGATGCAATTCTAAAAATCCTATCATATATAAAAGATTATAAATGATTATAAAAAAATTCAACTATCCCAAGAGTTGAATTTCATTTTGTGGATATGAATTATTAAATAAGGTTTGCATTTTTATATTTTTCAATTTTCTTTTTTCTTATTGTAAATATTTTTTTCATATTATGTTTCTTTGTTTTAATTATAAAAATAATAGTATGATAAAAATGCTTATGAAAAATAGAAAGATATTATTAAATTAAAAAAAATAATTAAAACAAATCATACATTGACCGGCAAAATAGTACTCTAAAATAACAAGTTCCAAGTTGAATTAATTCAGATTTTATAACTATTTTGAATTCAATCTCACTTAATCAACTATTCTCTAATATTACTAACTCATTAAAATTTACAAATATTGTCATTACAAAAACTATAATCTTAACTATTTATAGTTATTTGATAGTTAATAAAATCATAAACCAATTATTTTTATTATACTTTTTCATCTATTCTCTAAAAATCAAATATCATTATAGGCACTTCCAAAAAGTTCTATTCAAAACTACATGTCAACTGTTCCAACTCTAATATCTGTGCACATTAGCAGTTTTCTCCCAAATTTATTCAAAATGTCGTTGACAAAAATAAGGGTCAACGATGCTTCCAAAATAAACGGAAAGAATTTGTTCAAGCATATCATTTTAAATACCAAGATATATTAACTTTCACATATAATGATGATACAAATTTCAAAGCTTTTTTACTGTTTCACCCACTATGGTAAGATCAAATCACATCTAAGAACCATAAGGTAAGATTTTTATTTCACATACATTACATTTGATTTCAATCAACTTAGATTATACTTATTGCATTTTCTACCATTTCAATTAAACAAGATTATAGAAATTTCACAAACTCTAACTTAGCTTATAAATACTCAATCCCACCATGCATGAGATGAAAATGATGACTATTGTAATAATCTTACTTTTCATTGCTTAATGACCAGCACAAAATCTCAATATTTATTCTATCTTGATAAACAATTATACATATATTATCATATAGTTTCAATCATAAATAAAATCAAGCAAAGCATACATTTATAATTTCTATTAACAATTTTTTATCATATTGTTTTCTGTAGCATATTCCGACTTATTTTTATAAGAATCTCTCAAACCGTCATTCTTTTTCACTTTATTTGTTTTTGAAGAAAGCAAATCATAGATTATAGGTTAAAATGCTAGAAACAAGTCATTTTTAAAAGGATGGAAAAAATTAGTCACCACTAATCATTTAAAATTTGACGATTACTGTCTATTTACTATGATGGCACATAATAGTTTTAAAGTAATAATCTATCTTAACGATGAGTAAATTTTTTAATAATCACTAATTCTTCTATACTTCATACAACAGTTTGTAGTTAAAATACTTTTCTAACTATCAAGTAGTAAGTGTTTGATTAACTTTCTTTTTAGCAACTGTTCTTTTTGGTAATTTTGTAGCTTAAAAATGTCCTCTTAACATTTTCTGCTTGGTTTTATGGCTACTTTAAGAAAGCTTCGTTTTTACTTCTTTAACTCGACAATGTTAACTTTCTCTTAAATTATTATTTTATATTAATCACACGTATTTCTTTAACTTCTAACTCAATCAAAAACTAATTTAATAAAATACTAAAAATTAATATAACAAATCAAGCAAAATTGGGTGCCGATCACTAGTATATTAAAAAAAGATGATGGGTGGAGAGTATAAGTCGTATCAACAAAGTTTATGTGAAGTTTTTTAAGTAAAATTTGTGAAATTTTTTTTAAAAAATAATTTAATAAAAATTTTAATAAAATTTAAACCAATTGATTGATAGAATTTAATTTAAAAATTAATAATATGTAAAAAATTATTAAAAATATTATTTATAATTTAAATTTTATCAGTTCTTATTCAATGATAAAATTTTTATTAATATTTTTACTAAAATATTTATATAAAAATATATAAAAATTTTACAAATTTAATCTATATAATAAGATATTTTAATTTATCAATTTTAATTTTTAATTTTATTTTCAATAAAAAATTTCATAATCATTACCTAAGTAATTTTATTTAAATCTTTTCTTAACTCATATTTAGATGAAAGTTTAATAATAATAAAAAATAATAAAATAAAATAATGAATGGCCCAAAATGCCTCATGGATCTCCATCTTCAATCCCACCTTTTTTGCCCTCTTCGTTTAGAAGAAAAGTCCACTGCTGACTCATCAAATTCCATTAACAAAAGCCAAAACAAATTATACTTTGGCCTCTACTCAATAGCCAAATTAAGTGTTTAAGAATGGCTAACAAGGCCAAAAATTAATGAGAAATTTCAAGCATGGGGAATTTACTTTATCCTTTTTTTTACGAGCAATTACATATTTATTCGAATCTTGACAATCTATGCCCTCCCCCCCTTTTTTTTTTCTCTCTTGATGTTGAAAATATGCTTTGCTTTTTGAAGTCTGAGATTAACTTTCCTTGACTGAATATGGAAAAGTAAGAATAAAAGAAAGAATATGCAAGAGGCAATGTGTAAGGGTGTTACATTAGCCAACTAAGTTTGTAGTCTTCAACTTTTTTTTTTTTTTTTTTTTTTCAAAATAAATATGTCGTGTAAGGTATAAATAGTTTAATATTTTTTATAAAAAAAAATAATTTGAGAATAAAAAATTATAAATATTAATATTTAAATTTTAAATTTATTTAAATAAGCTTCCTTAATATCTATGAAGAGCATCCCGATTAAATCTAATTCATTTTCTTTCCCTAAAAACAAAAATATTTGGCTGAATTTGAGTTTCCTTCTTAAATACAGTAGTACCCCTGGTCCTAAGTGTAATAAAGGAAGATAAGGAAGGGCAAACAGGGAAAATCAAGGGTCCTAGGCTACGATCACAAGCAGAAAGGGTGTTATAAAACCGGAAAGAGTATCAATACGCAGCACTTAGATTACTGGCGTTGCTATCGAACTGTTCCCTTCTCGTTTTGATTTTCCTTAAAACTCCACGGCGCAGATCCTAGGAGTTTGGGAAACCCTAGCTCTCTCTCTCTCTCTCTAATCTCAACCGAAAAAGCCTCCAAAAAAACTACCCCTTTCCTTTCTCTATCTCTCCAACAAATCCACTTTCCTACCCCTAAACGCTCTCTTTTCCTCTTGATCCTGCTCTTGCTTTCTTCATCTGCTTAAAGGTTGCTCTTTTTTCTCTATCTTACTATCTTTATATCTCTTTTGTTTTTTGTTTTTCCTTGTCTTTGGGTGTTTGTGTTTGATTGGCTTCCTGTCGTTTCTATGTTTTGTTGGATTTAGTTTGATGGTTATTGGATTTGATTTTACTGTTTGAGATCTGGGTTTGATCTGTTTTCTTTGTATGGTTTTGGGTTTTTGTTTTTGAGATTGATTAGTTCATGTACATGATTTTTGGGTTTTTTATTTTTGTAAAGTTGATTCCTTTTTGTAGTTTGTGATTTGAGAAATTAACAAGTTTGAAGCCCTGCTAGGCTAGTCTTTCTTTATTTGTTTTGCAAAAGAAAAAAAAATGTTGGATGTTGAAGAGGAAAAGAAGGAAAAAAAAAAAAAGGTTTCTTCCTGTTTGTGTTTAAGATTCCAAAGAATAGGAATATGGGAAGGTTATTGTTATTCAAGCTTCTGTTTTAGAAAAAGCTTTTATGTGTTGTTCTGATTTTGAACAGCTCTTAACTGTCAATATTGTAACTTCCATCTTTGAGGTTGAAATGAAATCTTACAATTAGTTGAGTGAGATGTTTGGTTGTTGTTCTCTAACTATGCAAATTATTGGTACTTGGTACAGGACAAACATTACGATGCTAAAGTTTTTTATGATAGCTTAATTTTAGTTTGTTGCATTGATGTTACCGTGGGGCTGATATTTGACATGTATGGCTTGTTTGGGTCTGAGTTGAAATGTGTATTTATTGTCACTGTGCGAATGGATTAGGGTGTGTGACCTCGAATTAGGATTAACTAACACTACCTTTTTGTACAAAATCCTTCCTAATGACTATGTTTCTTCTGTCATGTTAATAGTGAGTTGGTCATCCATAAACCCATGTATACATCAGAATTGATGTGTAATTGATGGAGCAGGTTTTTGCTTCTTTGCCTAGAATATGAAGATTCTTCTGTTAACTACCCAGTGGAGATGAGTGATGATTATGTGTTACCAAGACAGTGTCTTCAAATTTTGTCTTATGTAGTAATATTTAAAATTTTGGTGATAACAATGCAATAAGCAATTTCCTTCTAAGTGCCTTGCGCTGGGTGAATTTTGGAGAGGTGGGCAATGTGGTGTCTGATGGTAAAGGATTTATGACCTAAATATTAGATCGCCATCTGCCTGTTTGTACATCCTCTCCACATTCTAAATCAGAAGTTAATGCTTGTGCTCCTCTTCATCTGTTGTGCAAGTTTGGCTCTTCTGTTACATCTTTCTTCATATGGAAAGACTTTGGCCTTTAATGCAATGAAAATTTTCAACCTTACCCGTTAGAGATTCTATTTTTTGATGTTTTTGTATTATGCAACATCTTGATTTCTTTTTCAGTATCCTATTGTATTTAATCTAAAAGCTATAATCTCTATTTATCTGGAGGTGAGCCAAACTTTGCATAATAAGCTTTCATTCTTTCTTTCCTATGTGCAGTCATGGCAGGTTTGACACCAGAAGGATCTCAATTTGATACTCGTCAATATGATCAGAAAATGAGTGAGTAAGTTTCTTCTTTTTTGACCACATTCCTCCCTTTGCGTGTGTTTTTTATTTTAAAACAGAAAAAAAAAAAAAAAGAAATGGTATTTACTTTACAACTTGTTGATGCTTATATGTGGAGAAAATTCAAATGGCACAGGTACCAAAACGAGGGAGATGAATTTTTCACAAGTTATGATGAAGTTTATGACAGTTTTGATGGAATGGGACTTCAAGAGAACCTTCTGAGGGGTATTTATGCATATGGTATGTAATACTTTGAAGAGGAAATAATAATTTCTGTAGTCTGCCTTTATAAATTCTTCAGGTATCATGGTCTGCCATTATTTGGACTTCTATAATTTTTTCTATGTTTTATCTTTGCTAATTTGTGCTGAATCCCCGATTCTCTTGTCCAAAATATTTTCCAAGGTTTTGAGAAGCCTTCCGCAATTCAGCAAAGAGGAATTGTTCCGTTCTGCAAGGGTCTTGATGTAATTCAGCAGGCACAGTCTGGAACTGGAAAGACAGCAACTTTCTGCTCTGGAATTCTACAGCAACTTGATTATGGTGTAATCCAATGCCAGGCTCTGGTTTTGGCACCCACTAGGGAGCTGGCGCAACAGATTGAGAAGGTGATGCGGGCACTTGGTGATTACCTTGGTGTTAAGGTCCATGCTTGTGTTGGTGGGACAAGTGTTCGTGAGGATCAGCGAATTCTTCAAAGTGGTGTTCATGTTGTTGTCGGTACTCCCGGTCGTGTCTTTGATATGTTGAGAAGGCAGTCACTTCGTCCAGATCATATTAAGATGTTTGTTTTGGATGAGGCTGATGAAATGCTCTCCCGTGGTTTTAAGGATCAGGTTTTTTATTTCATCTTGTTATCATCCTTTTTATTGATTTTTACTTTTGCAAGCTTTGGTTTGATATTTTGTTGCTCTGATAATGCTACGTCTGTCAGATCTATGATATCTTCCAGCTTCTCCCCCCCAAGATTCAGGTTGGAGTATTTTCTGCCACAATGCCACCTGAAGCCCTTGAGATCACTAGGAAGTTCATGAACAAACCTGTGAGAATTTTGGTTAAGCGTGATGAGCTAACCCTTGAGGGTATCAAGCAGTTTTATGTGAATGTTGAAAAGGAAGAGTGGAAGCTTGAAACTCTCTGCGATCTCTATGAGACCCTGGCCATCACCCAGAGTGTCATTTTTGTGAACACAAGGCGCAAGGTTGACTGGCTAACTGACAAGATGCGAAGTCGTGACCACACAGTTTCTGCCACCCATGGGGACATGGATCAGAATACTCGTGACATCATCATGCGTGAATTCCGTTCTGGTTCTTCTCGTGTTCTCATCACTACTGATCTCCTGGCTCGTGGTATTGATGTGCAGCAAGTATCTCTTGTCATAAACTATGATCTGCCGACTCAACCAGAAAACTACCTTCATCGAATTGGACGAAGTGGAAGGTTTGGAAGAAAAGGTGTTGCCATTAACTTTGTGACTAGAGATGATGAGAGAATGCTGTTTGACATCCAGAAGTTCTACAATGTGGTTATCGAGGAGCTGCCTTCAAACGTCGCTGATCTCCTTTGATGAGATTACCTTTTTTGAAGATTGTTGAGGCAAGGGGTTTTGATGTTTTGCAAGTACTATTTAAGGTGCTCTTTTCTTTTTTCTTTTCCCATCTAGCGTCGTAAGTTGATGTTGTTCTTAAACATATTTGACCATTTCATTATATGGTTCCTGCACAATTGCTACATAAAGATTGTCCAGTTTTGTCCACTCCTTTGTGGTGGGTTTATGTTATTTCAAGTTTTGACGCAGCTGCCAGGGGTGGATTGTATGTCCCTTTTTCTTTTAGTATTTCATCCTTATATATATATATATATATATATATATATATATATTATTTAAAGCTTTAACTTTGGGTGGATCTTATTGTCTCCATATTTGCATATTGGCTATAGAGTTTTTATGTGTTTGTGTTGTAACTGTATTTGATGCTGAAGCACCGCAGGTGGTTATAATAATAATGGCAATAACGGAGTAATTGCGTCACTCTTAAGCATTTATGTAATGGAATTGCTCCCCAAGCTTACATTACTAAAATCCTGGCATAAAATATTAGGGTTTAACTGGATTTTATGCTATGAAGATTCATATCATTGATCTCTGTCTTTCCCTCTGCGGTGTTGCTGAATTTCTCGGGCAGCTAGCTGTTCGTGTGCAGCTTGGAATATGTATAAAACATGCCATGAGCTAGAGGTCCCTTTGGAACAGCTGTTCAGATGCAGCAAATAATAGCTATCATTTCCCTGGAGAAGCAGATAAACTCCCTGATCATCAACCAATTTGGAAAGTGAACGATGAAAAAGTTGGGTTCTGAATTGTCTGATCAACAAATTGATATATTCTGGCACTAAGTCTTATGTATGTGGGTCGGGTCGGCTGTACCAAATCTTGTAGCCTAGTTGAACTAAGATATGAAGTCGTGTTAGACGTGGTCAGCACTCAACAATCCAACCTTATCTTCATCACTTGCATATCTATTGCAATCTAGCTAGTTGCCCGTCTATTTCCCCATGTTTCAGGTTCAGTTGCTGACTCTGGAGAAACCCCAAGACAACAGAATGTACTGTTTCCCTTCACTTTATTGGTTGTATACATAAGTTAGGTATGCATAGGTGAATTTTTTGTGGACTTTGAAGACAAACCCTTAACTATTGTCGAACAATTTCTTTGGTTTTCATAATAATTTGCATCTAACTACCAAACACTCTTCAGTAGATTGGACCCACAGCAGCTCTGCAGTCAAAAGCCATCACCAGGGACAACATCATTAACAGTTCCATAAAATTTACAAAATCAAAGGCTCTAAAATTTAGACAATCTCAATCAATTTTCAACATCAAATACACCTGATTTCTCTCCATCTAATGATCTAGACGCTCCTTGTTTTGTTTTTTTTTTAATCGTTTATCAATTCATCTGCCCAGTCAAATATTAACCATTACACGTGGCAAGACATCAATGACCATTCAAAATAAGCTACCCCTGCACTGTGCAACTGCCTTAACATGTGAAACTAAAGCGGAAAATGTCACATCTCGCATCGAACTCAACCCAAGAAAAGTACACGTGAAATAGTTGGAAGACGAAAAGCACAGCTGTTTCCCTTGCCCGGAAGAAAAAAGAGAACAAAGAAAATTTGTATTAATAAATAATACCACTAAAACATCAAACGCCATTGATATTTATTTTCTCCTTCTCCACTGCCACATCTTCATCTCCATCCTTGAGCATCTTACAATCTCTGTCTAGAATTTCTTTTTTGATGGAGGATTCTAGATGCAAATCATACAGGTATGGAGGGATGCAGATTGGGAGTTACTACGGACGTAGGGGAGGCAGGCCAAGCAATATGCAAGAGCTGAGGTGTTACAGTGCCAGTTATGCAAATTCTGTTCAGCCAAATCAGCTTAGAAAAGAGATTAAGATCAAGAAAAGCAAAAGCTCTGTTGGGAGTTCTTTAAAAAGCTGGAGCTTTAATGATCCTGAGTTGCAAAGGAAGAAAAGGGTTGCTGGCTACAAGATTTATTCAGTTGAAGGCAAGATGAAAGGGTCTTTAAGGAAGAGTTTCAGGTGGATCAAGGACACTTACACCCAAGTAGTCTATGGGTGGAGGTGATCCATGGCTACTCTTTAGCTTTTTTTTTTTTTTTTGTTCTTTTTGGGGTTTGTGTTTTACTATGTTGGTAAATGATGGATGAGAACTTGGGATTTGGGAAGCTTCCCTTTGTCTAAGAATCTTGAATCTGATTTTCATAACCTTATATTGTATAAAATGAATTGCACTTATTTGGTATCAAAGCAAACTCAAATCTATGAAATATGAAAATTGATGTTTTCTTGATTGAGTTTGTGTAGTAGGTAAGATTAAGATCCATAGCAAAATTGAACATGTTATTGATTTCTTAGATTCCCTTCTATCTAGTTTGTCTGGTCAAAATCTGCTCATTTGCCATTGTTGCTGATCTTGAGAATACTATTTATTATTTCTGCTTGGTTGATGGTTTTGGCGATGTAGAAAGTTTGAATACAGATTGTCCAACTTGGACTAACATGAATGCAACCGATCTCCCGATTTTCAAATAAATCGAACTTCTTCTGTCTTAGTAGTATATGGTTAATGTTTAATTTTGTAGATGGTTAATGAACCAAAATCCATCATTTAATTATTAATCCTTTTAAACTTTTATTAAGTGGGGTCTTTCATTTACTTTTTCACCAAAATCAAAGCATATCCGATGAAAAAGAGTATAGATCTTCACCCTCTCAAGTCCCTCGGAAGACGAAAGACAAAGTATACCTCGCTAGTTTCAACAGATGAGAGTCTTTACTACTAAAATTAAATTGGTGATAAAGCATTAGACCAAACAATTCAAAATCAAATATAATAAGCCTGCTTTGAATTTTACAATGGTTACATGAAACATTTTAACTGAAACTGTAGCGAAGACATTTAAAACTGTCTTTTTGGACAAATATTTTGACCAAAGCACTACACCTAGGTTTCTAATTATATCATTGGCCATGTGTCTCTTTCCTGATTCTTTCTTTACTAGTACTTACAGTTATGGTCCCCATCTTAGCTTCTACTTCTGATCTCAGATTTTTTACAAAATACAGAGACAACATCCTCCACTCCGTGTGCGAAAGAAAAGTATACCGTCTTAGAATTTGCAGGAGGCAAGAATTTGATGTAGGGTGTAGTAGTCTAATAGTGTAACCTCTCATCCTTACAAAAATGCAGGCCTTCAATTCCTCTCAAAGCAGACTCTAAATTCTTTGTATTTGAGGATGAGTGCTTGTTATCCGATGATAAAACATGTGAACTTCTTTGCCCACCAGAGATTTTCGGGAGAGGGCCTGCACTTGCATCTATGGTGCGATGGCGAGAGGGTTCGGTGTTGCTAACTGTGATTGCTGCATCACGGCTGCTAGAGACAGCAGCTCGCCTTGAAGATCCACTTGAAGGCAAGAAATTAGAACCAGACACCTGCACAATTCAAGCCAGAACCATTAGTTAGAAAGGGCATTTGGTATCACACGCCTCTTATGACAATTTTATACCAGAAAATAAAAAGAGAAGGGAATGGAACAAGGGAGAAGGTGGAGGAATGAGGTTGTTCTTATGGTACAAAGAATGCAGGTTTTTTGTTTCTGATATATCTCATTTCTTGTTCAGTATTACTGAGAAACGCAAGATGCAACCTGCCATAGGAGACAGGAGGAATGCTCATGAATTGCCAAAAAAGAAAGGCTGTTGCGATTCCCTTGTAAGGTCACACAACATGTCTCAAAGTAAGGGTGAGAAAAAAATACAGAAAAAATTAAAAATTGATTTAAAATTATATTATCCAATTTGATTTAGATTTATTTTTTTTATTTGATTCAAATTAAATTTGAATATTAAATATATATATAATTAAAAAAAAAAAAAAAAAAAAAACTGAATCGAACCAAATCAAATTATATATTTTCATTAACTTTTAAATATATTTTAAATGTTTATACAATAAAAATAATTATTTTATACCTAAATTTATTTAAATATATTAAAATTATATTAAAATAATATATAAACAATAAAAAATTTAAATTAAAAAAAAAACAGATAAACCGAGACGCTAAAATTAAATTTGAATCAGTTCGTATGGAAATTTGGTTCAGAATCGGATCAGATTTTAAAAATTTATAATTCAATACATTAATCAAAAAATCGAACTAAATCTGATCCGATCCCGAAGAGAATCATTTTGGGTATTTCCTTTTTAGGGCAACCGCCACAGGAGACCAGAAAGCAACTCGAATTTCCATTCTGAAATATTACAAACCTTTTTTATATAGTAATAACTTTTTTTTTTCATAAATATAATTCAATACTTAAAAATTTTTTATATAGGGGATTTTTCCAATCAGAAAACAAAGTGTTTGTCTCATCATACATGAAAAAGAAGAAAAAAAATAGCATAGGAAATGCATACATCTATACCATTACCATACCCCCTTCAGAGGCCAATTTACTCCAAGTCATTATGTCATGAATGGAAGATATTATGCAATGAGAAACAGGCCTAATCTATACGAGATCTACTCGTGAAGAAAAAAATACCATTACCATACGATCTTTAGCAAGAGGTGGATCATTTGCAACTGGATTTTTTTGTTTAGCTAAGCTTCCAGAATTCACAATTGGGCCGGAATGTCTCCTGCGAGTAGGATCCATGGAAGACCAACCAGAAGGTCTACCTTCTTCTCCACCTACGGAAAATCAACCATATTACACACAGTTATCGTATGCTCCAGTTAGACCAGGGACCATTATCTAAAATACTGCATCACTCAATATTATGTATAAACAAAAGGCAGAAAGAATACAAAAAGAAACTATTCCTATACATGACTAGACAAAACCAGGAGGAAAACAGAGCCAACAAAGATACCTGATTGCCTATCAGCAATTGCACCTGCAGGAGGTATCCATGAGCTTGGTCCAGCACCAGGACCCTGGAAAAATTAATAATGTAATACAATGCGAAGATACAAGATGCCAATAGTTACCTAGTTTGGTAAACCACTTACAAGTGCGTGGGTAGGAGGATTGGCAATCTGTGATTGCTGATACTTTAATATTGTCCAATCAAACACGTAATCAAACTGAAAACCTGAATTAAGAAGAAAAGATAACAATCCAAGGTGAAGCTTCATTGATTATTTAAAGGTTTACAATTGCAGTCAAGAATAACATCTTTCAAAAAAAAAAAAAAAGAACAGCGGGCAATGTAAAGTTCTAACCTTCACGAATGAAGAGATCACGAAACAGGCGCTGCAGATAAGAATAATCTGGTTTTTCGTCAAATCGTAGGGACCGACAGTAATGGAAGTAGGATGCAAATTCGGTAGGGTAACCTCGACACAAGGCCTAAGAAGAAACCAATAAGTCTTCCACCGAGTTTCAAGTTGCTGGACAGGTATCACATCCATAGCTATAATCAGACATTAATTTACCTCAATAGAAATTGAAACTTTCTTTTCACTAATCTTCTCATATTTTTGCTTCTTATTTCCTGCTTTCAGTCCCTGCCAAGGAAGACTACAAAGACATTGGGTTATAACTAAATTATCCCAACTGCTTTGCTATATGTAAGATACAAGTGGTGGGCAGTAGTTACCTTCCCCTTAAGAAATACATAAGAACAAATCCAAGTGACTCTAAATCATCCCTACGGCTTTGCTCTATAGAATAATACAAGAGTGTTAGTAGTGGAAACTAGAATGAAATATGTCACAATCACTCTCCATGTTATCTGACAAAGGAAAAGAGGTGGAAAAGGATGTCCTACCAATTCCAAGGTGAGTATTCATGCTTGCATATCTTGCAGTTCCTGTCAGATTTTTATTTTCTCTGTAATAAATACAAGCACGCCATAAATGTTTAGTCCAAACAAGTATGTCACAGATTTATAATTTAGATAACTCTACGTTAGTATAATACATAAAGGTTGTGCTAGAGAACCATTAAGTTTTTTTAACATTTACTATTAAAATTAAAACAAACAAATAATAACTGCATAAGCATCGTAATAATTATCGATAAAACCTAACAGATCTACATATAAAAGCACTCAACAGTAACATCTCAGTGCTTGATCATTAATTGCCTATCCCAATGAAATAAACTTCTGATATCAGATTTTTATTAACTAAATATGGACATCCATCAACAAAACCAGAAATGGTTTGAATTAGAATGGAAAGTTGTATCTCCTTTGTTGAGTTTGACAGTATAATTGAAGTTTAACCCGACATTTAGGTTACAAAATGAAGGGTTGGGGATGATAAGAAGATTTAAGGCCTATTAAACCTAAAGAGAGAGGAACCTAAGTAGAAAAAGGAAAAGATATACACTAGGGTTGAGATGAAACAAGAAGAAAACGAAAGATTAGAAACTAGCTCTTAATTAATTCTAATTCATTCAAAACTCAAAAACTCCCATTACAGCCATAACAAGTAGCCTTAAATTAGCGTTTTTCTTAACCAGAAAGATTTTAGAAGCCCAATAACCCAATACAATAATATAGCAATCATGATACGAACCCTGAATCATAAAAACACATAAACAATCTTCTAAGAATATTTATACCATAACTAAAATCAACATCTACCGAAGAATTCAGAAGCACCATTCGACTTAAAACAAAGTAAATGAATTCACCATTTAGAAGTACTCAAGAGGACTAACCTATAAGGAATATGCTGATGGGTTGAAGTACAGAGATACTTCTTAGCCAGACCAAAATCAATGATGTAGACCTAATATGCAATTAAAAATCAAATATATACCAGTATACAACATGAAGCCAAAGATCCACAACAAAAAAACAATTTGTGATAATACCTGTTTTGCACGCTTTCCTAAGCCCATGAGGAAGTTGTCTGGCTTGATATCTCGATGCAGAAATGATTTTGAATGAACAAATTCAACTCGGTTGATCTGATGACAATACCGGACTTACCAAAAATTAATGAAACTCAGAGCACATAATACCAGAATAAAATGCACAAAATGAGGGAAAACTCACCAACTGGTCCGCAAGCATGAGAACAGTTTTAAGTGACAGTTTTCTACTGCAGAAGTTGAACAAATCTTCAAGACTAGGCCCCAGTAAATCCATCACAAGGACATTATAGCCACCTTCAATGCCAAACCATCTCACATTTGAAATTCCATCTGCCAAAGATATAAAATAGTAGTATTCATCATTAAACATGTAATAGAAATGGGCAAAATAGTGCAAATCCAACCCTTCTCATTTCAAACACTCTACAAGAAGGAAAAGTGGTCCTTACTTCCTCCCTGCAGTATTTTATACAACTTCGATTCATACAACAATTGGGGATGCTTTGTCTTCATATTTTCCTGAGCAAAAAGAAAATTATCAGTATTTCTTCGCCTAGATATTAGTTGTCATTGATGGCAATCCAAGCAATTGACAATAACACAAGAAACAGAAGAAAGATGCATGACAGATCATATCACAAAATTGTTGCTGAATAAAATTGCATTTATTCATGCCTTATATGGGAAACATTTTTCAAAACTCAGCAGGATAGTAGTCATGCTGCCTGGATTGATTAAGATATATGTTGTATGATTCATAGTTCCATTTTTGGTCTCTAAAATATCAATAGAATCACTTTCACTTGGAGATCTCAACATGCTATCATGCAATTCAGCTAGTGACAAGCTCAGAACCAAAACAACTCAAATCATTAAAGTTTGAAGACCATGGAATGCCAAGAATCAAGCTACCATAGTTTAATGATCTTCTATAAATATATGCAAATTCCACATGTTGCCAAGGCTTTAACTGAAATGGTAAATTGACACAAACCTAATCATTTGAATAGCGTAAACAACACAAACTATAATCCTAACAGAACTAAAACATTAAGGGTTAATTAATATTAGCATTGTCCAACTGAATAACCACTATACTCTATCATCCAGATTTAAAACAATCACCAGCAATTAATGCAGTTAAGATCTACTTACCACAACCCCCCTTTTCATTGTACTCAAATGCCAGCTTAAAAGCCAGTAGGCTAGAAATTACTTAAAATGGAGTAGATTATAGGACACTGATGAATCTAAAGTAGAAGAAATTAAAGATGCTCCACAGCATTCTCAAAAGCACAGTTTGCTAAGCAGAAAAGATAAGGACCCATTTAGTTTCGGAAAACCTTTTTCATTTTCCATCTCCGCTTTTACTCTAAATACGAGGGATAAAATAAAGTAAATAACTAAATTTCGAAGTAAATGATACACACTTTTCTAGTTTCTCTATGGAATCATCATCATACTTGGAAGTAAATTTACCATTGATAAACCAGTTATAACAGCATCACGCAGCGAATTTGTACCAAAAAATAGGAATCATTAGCTGGTAAACTAATCAACTTGTAACTCAAACCCTTGCAGAATTTTTCATTCTTCACAAAGACACTAACTATTATAAAATTTGCAATCAACAATGAACATCCAACAAATTAACATACAAAGCCGCAGAATTTGATAGAAAATAAAATTACTTACAAGCTTAATAGCAACTTCCTCATTCGTTTGAATATTGGTACCTAAAATTTGAACAAAATTAGCAAAACAAAAAAAAAGTACAAACTTTACAAAAAAAAAAGGAAGAATAATAATAATAATAATAATAATAATAATAATAATAAAGCACAAACCGTGATAGATCTCTCCAAATGATCCGCTACCGATCTTTCGACCGAGTCGATACTTGTTCCCAACTCGCGGCTCCATAATAGCCGAAATAAAAAAATTAAATTAAATAAGAAAAAAAAAAACCTAGTTTCTTTTTTCTCTTTCACTCTCAATAAAGCTCAACTTGGATTAATATAAAACGAAAACCCTAAACCTTAAAAACAATTTCACCATAAAAAGGAAAGAAAATAAAAAGGTAAATTTGAGGGCCGTATTAAGAAGGCCATGACGGAGTAGAGGGAGAGATGCTATGATGTGATGATGATCAGGAATCAACGGCAGAGATGTGTTGTTGTGGGGGAGACTGGGGACAGATGGGAAAAGAGAGCGAATCTTGGTCTCTCGAAAAGGAAGTCTAAAACAAAATTATAGAGAGAGAATTATCGTTGTTGTTCCTTTGTTTCAAAGTAGTAGAAAAAGTAAACTTGTGCTCTCATTGTCAGCTTTTGATCCAATCGAAAGCCCAAGGTTTTTCCTAGGCTCCAATGGATTACGAAACGCTGTCGTTTTCTTCTTTTTTTCTCACTTTTTTTCCTTCAATTTCGATAGATGCTCCAACTTTTTCTTTTCTTTTCTTTTTTGTAATTCAATAAAAAAGTTGGAACCCAGCTTTTTTTTTTATTAAACATATACATATATAATGTTAAAATTTTTTATAAGTTCATGATTATGATAATTTTATATTTTAAGTATTTTTTAGGTATAAAGTGTAAAATAATATGAATCTAAAATTTAATTTAATAATTTATATAAACATCAATAAGTGATATCAAATAGTAAATTTTAAATTTTAATATTTAAAAATTTTTTAAAATTAAAATATTTTTATAAAAAAAATATTATAACATCTAATAATTTAAAATACGATATAAAATAATATAAAAGTGAGATAATTTAAAATTTTAATAAAAATTATACGTAATTTTAATAAAATTAAAAAATATATATTTATTTTTATATCAATATAAATTATAATATATAATTTTTATATAAAATACAATATAAATATATAAATTATTAATATTTTATATGTTATGAAAAAGAAACTAAACCAAAATAAATTCTTTACATAAGTCCTATCTCACCAGCCTTACCAAGCTTAAGACCCGCGTGGCCTTTTGTAGGATCAGCAGTCACCAGATATAAGAGCAAGGTCCAGTTTTAAGATGCATTTAGAGGCCCAACCCTAGTACGGCCACAAATAACCACATTTAAGGCCTAAAATCCGAATGCACGTAAAATTTGCGCTTGGGGTGGGACATGCAAACCAGAGCAGAGTTAAAACCAGAAGGACTTCACCTAATCAAAGTCTTAACTACTTTAATATGCCGCAAAATATAGCTTACACTTCCAGATTTTCATTTCTAAAATACTGTTGGATTAGGTTTGAAACAAGACTATGAAAGTTGAGACCAAGACATACCAACTGCAATGAACCCAAACTCATGGAGCTATGTCTTTGTTATACTTTGACCCTCAGCAATAACTCTGGCTGTCATCTTAGCAGGTTTAACACTGGTAAATCAATCAGCAATCCAACTGTGCAGTGACATATTCTCAACTTCACACTCTTTCTACTTAACCTTACCAGCTCAATCTCTTTCTACCACTTCCTTTTTCCCCCTTGCATGTCTGGTTGACTTGAATGTGAAAGCGTATCCCGAAATATTATCTCCAATGCCCCCACTTTTTTCTTTGTAACAGATCACGCCTGCTCTTCAACTCAGTCTCCAGCAACCAGACCAGATGATACCTCAACAAGTCTTAAGATTTGCAGAATACATTAGTAAAAACATGTATGTATGCATTAAAGTAAATGAACAAGACAAGACCAAAACATCAAAGAAGTTTAATACTAGCTCAAAAGGAAGATTGATTTGCTTCAAATCCTGCTTTTTCTTTACATCAACAGTTTCAACATTGTATATTATACAGAGTTATACAAACAGGCCGGGATAGGGCAATCGTAAATGATGAAGATATCAGCTATTTTCACAAGATACAACTCTTATATGTGTCAAGTAGTGTACATACAATAGCTCCAAAGGCCCTTGTATAATGAATGGGACTTATAATCTAAAAAGATCAACAAATGAATAATGATAATAATACGTTTAATAATAAGAATAAGGCCTCAAAGTAAAACTGCAGATGACTGAAAACAAAGACCCTTGAAAATCTTCAAAAAGAAACAAAATTCATGAGCATTGTGATGGAGTGATTGGACTAAGCGTTTCCAGAGATGTTTGTTTTCTTTGTAACTTCCCCCTTAATTGCCTGATCTTTGCATCCACCCGTGCTGTGAATCCGATCTTGGTTTTCTGTCTTGCCTTTGATCGCTCTCTACACCACATGCGATCATCTTCAACGTCTTTCCTGTAGTACTTGATCTCTTGAATGATATGATGATCCAATGGGTGGAAACATCTTTGGAAAGATATATGGGCCATGTATGGAAGATTACAAGCAACTGTTACTAAGAGGGTGGCTGACCAATAGATGGGTGCAGGAGCAAGAGCTTCCACTAGAATTTGGTAGGCATTACCAGAAATAGTTGGAGATACCATGCCATAAACTAAGAGAAACAAATACCAAGTGACAATACTGCCCCATATTAAGAGGTGTTGGATCCACGTGAAGTGGCTCATTGTGAGCGCAATCTGGCAATTGAGAGCCCAAATGATGCAAGTGAACATTGCCGTACCCAAGGCAGCCATATCAGCAGTCTGGCCTCCAGCACAGAAAGCTTGGTCATAGAAGATGATAATATTGAGGAAGAAAATGATGAGAGAGGAATATAGACCATTGCCCATCCACCCAAGTATTCTATACCAGTCGAAAAACAAATTTCGAGGTCCTTGCTGATATAATGCAGGAAACTGCAACACAAATAGGCATGCAAAATCTTATAACAAAGTCACCTGCAATATGGACATATTGCTAATAAAAGAATTGTTTACAGACTAACCTGTAAGCAGACCTCAGAAGAAACATCTTGCTCAAAAACTCCTAGTGAGATCACGGGCAATGATGTAAGGACAACATTGAACAATAACATGTACCAGTCGTCATAAACTGATTGTCCGGAAAAGCCTGTGAATGCCTCAAAGTAGAAGAGGGTGAGGCCAAATGCTATATTCTTATAGAAGAAATAGCAAACCTGAATCCAAGATACCAGAGTTAAAGCGGTACAGTTAGAGGAGGACCAAGCATAAAAAATGCAAGAAAATGAAACATTAGTGCAGATAATCTCTAATTATTACCATCTGTGCAATCCTCTTGTAGCACCAGTGTCCATGAACAACAAGAAGTCTTTCCAAGAATCGAAATTGGGCAACAGAGAAATCACTGGCCATTACAGCCTGCAAAATGGAACAAGTTAATGTAATTTTTTGACAGGGTCTTAAGAAGCATCATATCATGATAGAACAGTTAAAGCCTAAAATATAGTACTTAAATAACAATAGTTAAATACATCAAACAAGATACAGAAGGAAATAATCATCAGCAGTTAATGAAAATGTGGTGAACATTTTAGTTAGTCACTGCTTCTGAATATTTGTAAGTACAGTCAAAAGAAGCCTAACAATATCTTTATCTCCGGATGAGGATGCTTGTATATAAACTGCTAAGTTTTACATCTACTACTAACTGAAACGAAGAGCTGCTGCCAAGAATCATGAAGCTCAAAAACATGACTACCGCTTCCTCAAAGAAATATATATATATATATATATATATATATAACACAAATTCAGAAAAGGACCAAAGGAGCAAATTCCCATCTAGAGCCCAGCTCTAATTAGATAATCTCTCCTTTTTCTACAATATAAATATGAAATATCCTTAATATAGAACTATATAAAAGATTCACTCTCAACTATCACTAGAGGAATGCACTGCAACTGTAGGAAGAGTGAGTTAGGTATGTTACCGACCTGCATGCCTTCCACACCACTGATGCCAACTCCAATGTCAGCTTCTTGAATCATTCCAACATCATTTGCACCATCACCAATTGCTAAGGTGGTTTTCCCAGTTCCTTCTTTCACTAATCTTGTTACCTGGTACCAAGAAAATGTACTAAATAAATAGAATACGCAATAAGATATCCACTGTCTGGAAAATCACCTGATTTGATCCTTTAGAAACTTAGAAAAGAGTAGAAGGAAAAGAAGGGAAAAAAAGATATCTTACTAGTGCCTTCTGCTTGGGAGACACACGACAGCATATGACAGATGCACAATCAACTGCTAAGCCTAAGAATTGTTGCTTCATATCATCTTCCAAGACATATGCCAGAGTCTTCCCCTCAATGATCAATGCAAATGCAGCATGTGGATCTTTTTCTAGTTTTATCATTTGTGAAGCATTGGTAATTTGCATCAATATGTTCTCCTTAACTACCTGCTCAGTAACAAAAAGTGACAAAGTCTAACATCAAATGAAATAAATTTCCTGAAGAAAAATTCCAGTCCTCTTTCACAGAGAAATACATACTTCTTTGGCATCTGAACTAATGGCTGTAATACAGATCTGCTTCATGCCTTGTCTTAGCAGACTGCAAGAATATCTGCATCACATAAAAAAAAAAAAGAAAAAACTTTCATTAAATGGCTTTCATGGAGAACCTTTCCACTGAGAAATCCAATTTGAGGTTTCCCAAGACAAGAACCAAAGAGAACCTAATATTAAAAAGCCAGAGATAGACCCTATATTTATAGCAGTTTCCATCTTATCCCCTGTCAAAACCCAGATCTTTAGACCAGCTTGTGCAAGTTTATCTATACACTGGGGTACCTGAAATGAAGAGAAGTTAAATCAGGTTGAAGCAAACCAAAACAGAAGTTTCTTAAAGAATGCAAGCAAGGGTAACACATACCCCCTTTTGCAATTTGTCTTCCACAGCAGTAGCACCAACAAGAATCAAATCCCTCTCCATCATCTCTGCCACCTTTTCAAGCATTGTCTCCCTATCAGCCCCAATAGAAGTTTTTGCCTTCTGAAATTCATTGTTCCAAGCAGAATACTCAGACTCCTCGAGCTTTCTATAAGCCAGCGCCAACGTACGCAATCCAGCTTCTCCATACTCATTCAAATGCCTAGTAGTATCTTCCAAATACAACCTTCCATTCTTTGATAACCTATCAAAAATAATGCTGTGCCAAACGGAGGGGTAATAAATCAGTCAAACACAAATCATCAGGCCATTGAAGTTACAGACTGGTGTAGGCTACCTTGTTCATCTGTTAATACCTTGAAGAAGTCAAAAAGGTACTAGAGAGACTAACCTGTCAGCACCTTTACACAGGAGAAGAATCTGCCCATCTTCATCCCTCACAATTACTGTCATCCGCTTTCTTTTGCTGGTAAATTCCAACATATTTAGGAGTTTGAACTCCCTACGAGATACCCAGAGGACCATTAAGATGCTAAAACAAAAGAAATTCGGGAGAGATTATCAAAGAGCAAAAACTTTGTGCAT